CAGGTTTATTTTGAATTATTACATTTTATTGCTTTTCTGGCTGAGCAAACAGCGGCGCTCTCGCTGCTGGCTGGAAATCGAACCTGGCAGGATTTAGGTTGGGCTGGAAAGGGGAGCAGAGGGGGTTTAAGGGGATAATGTGTGTGTGTCCTTGTGTAATAACAGCAGCTCTTTGACACCTTCAGGAGGAGCAGGGCCAGGGTGGCCTGGGGGTGCTGGAGGTGTTTGCTGGGATCCCTGTGCTGGGATATTTATGGGGTTTTGCTGCTTTTTCATTGGCCTCTTTCACTCTGCAGCTCCTTGAGGAGCTTCCTGGGACCAGAAGCTTTTGGAGATGTTCAAGCTGGTTTATTCGGATTTATCCAGGCTCTGTTCAACTGACCGGTGTTCATCCTGTCCCACCCAGCTGTCCCTTTCTTACCCTGGGCAAGCTCTTCTCGTCTTGCCTTAGTGTATAAACTGAGTCCAGGGGAGCACTGATTTTACCAGATAAAATCTTGTATTATTTCAACCTTTGACTGTTTCCATAGTTCTGACCATTCCTCTCCAGCCCCATCCAAGCTGGCCTTGGGCATTCCAGGGGCAGCCACAGCTTCTCTGGGCAGCCTGTGCCAGTGTCCATGAAACCATTCACAGCCTCCCTTTTTTGCTGGTGCTGGCTGGAGAGCCATCCCCGCATCCCTGCCTTTCCAGAGCCCAGGAAACCATTCACAGCCTCCCCTCTGTGCTGGTACTGGTTGAAAACCCATCCCTGCCTTCCCAGAGCCCAGTCCCAGCCCTGGGCATTAATGAGCCCCAGCGATGGGGCCCTGCCCAGCCAGCAATCAGTGCCCAGCTGGGAGGGCTTTGGCTCCAGCCACCAGGAGGTTGCTTTTTTTTATCGTTATTTTTGCCCTTTATGGCTTTTTGGCTCCATTTCCATGATTAAACAGTTGGCAGAGCTTTGATTGCAGAGTGCTGCTCGCTGGAAGGGGCTCGTGGAGCGTCTGAAAGCTTTTCCAGGGAGTGGGAAAGGCTGAGCTGCACCTCCTGCTCCTCGTGCTCTGGGCTCCTGGAGCGTCCCACTGGGACAGACGGACTGCCCAGGGGTGGGGACAGATGGACATCCCAGGAGTGGGGACAGACGGACTGCCCAGGGGTGGGGACAGATGGACATCCCAGGAGTGGGGACAGACGGACATCCCAGAGTGTCCCACAGGAACAGATGGACATCCCAGGAGTCTCCTGAACATCCCAGGGGTGTCCCACTGGGACAGATGGACATCCCAGAGTGTCCCATAGGGACAGATGAACATCCCAGCAGTGTCCCACTGGGGCAGAAGGACATCCCTGCTGTGTCCCACTGGGACAGATGGACATCCTAGGAATGGGGACAGACAGACATTCCAGGAATGTCCTAGTGGGACGGCTGAGCTGCCCTGGCAGAGGAAGGGTGGAGAGGCACAACCCACACACTCAGGTCCCACCCCAGTGGTGCAGAATTCCCAAACAGGATCATTCCTTTTCCACTCACACCCTGGCAATATCTCAGATTGGTCTCAGGTAAGCTGAGCACAGCAAACAGGTGGAGACAGAGTTCTGAACAGCAATGATACCCCATGAATTTACAGAGATGCTGGTGACTGCCATGGATCTCGAGGAGGGAGAACATTCCTCCCCAACTAAGGGAAGTGCCACTTGTGTGAGTCCTTGTGTCACGCCTCGGCTGAATTGGAAATAATTCCTCGCTGGCAGGAATTGGAAATAAATGAAGGCTGCAGATGAAACCATTTCTCTTCCCAGCCCACCCATCATTTATTTCCTCAGCCCCACTTTGCCAAAGCTGCCGTGTTTGAGACAAATTGTGTTTAATTAGGAGGAGGTGGAGACCTTTAGGCAACGCTCTTCAATCAAAGTGCCTCGAGGAACTAATCATGGAAATGCAAGAGCAGAAGGGCTGGGAGCTGTCCCCGCTGGTGACTGATTGTCAGAGGGGAGGGCTCCTGCTGCAAAAGCTCTCCTCATTTAAACCCATGCTCAGCACACTCTGGAAATGCTGTTTGTGGTGGGGGCATTGCACTGCTCCGTAAATATTGAGCTCATCTGAGTATGGAATGAAAAAAAATATATAAAAAGTATGAAAAACAGAGCAATCTTCAGTAAGTATTGATAAAAAATGTTACTTCCCTAAAAAGCACAATTATCTTTTTTTATGATCAATACTTAGGATGCAAGATGTTCAACCACACAAAGGAGTTTGCTGGAAATAATTTTGGAGATGTTTAGGGTTGGTTTTAGTTTGAAATCAGGGATTTGGGGTGTGGCATTCAGTGTCCAGGGGATCAGTGCTGTTTCCAGGGCTGAGGATGGAAACAGTGCCTGGGTTTGCCAGGCAGGTGAGGATTTATTTTAGCAGGGATGGAGGGACAGGACACAGGGAATGGCCCCCAGTGCCAGAGGGCAGGGATGGGTGGGAATTGATTGAGGAATTCATTGGGGAATAAATTGTGGAATTGATTGTGGAATTCATTGTGGAATTCATTGTGGAACTGTGGAATTGTGGAATTCATTATGGAATTCATTGTGGAATTGTGGAATTCATTGTGGAATTCCCTGTGGAATTAATTGAGGAATTGTGAAATTAATTTTGGAACTGGTCTGGGCAGCTCCTGCTGCTGCCAAGGATGGGCTGCTGGAGGGGACTGATCGGGGAATTCATTGGGGAATTGTGGAATTCATTGTGGAATTGTGACATTTATTGTGGAACTGTGGAATTCACTTGTGGAATTGTGGAATTGGGAGGCTGTCAGCCCAGCCACGACCTCCTGAGTCACATCCCTGACTAAAATATCCATCCCCCCTCCCAGCACACTGGGCTGCATTGAGGAGGGGTCTCCACCTGCCTTAACCCTGTGAATCCTGGAGCCAGGTGAGCCCAGGTCCCTCTGAGCCTTCCTTTCCCCTGGCTGAGCATCCCTGGTTCCCTCAGCCTCCTCCTGCAGCTGCTCCCCAGCCTGTGGCCACACACCCTGTCCAAAAAGGGAAGGTTTTGATTAAAAACATTGCGCAAAAAGGGAAGGGTTTGCTTTAAAACATTAACATTAACATTAATGTTTTAATTTAACATTAAAAAAGGAAAAGCCAAATGACTGCAAAGCACTCTCCATGCTGGACTCCCGCACCAAATTTCCTTGGGAGTTTAATTCCTCTCTCCCCCTTGTTTATTATCTCGTTTCTCTGGCCTTCTGTTAATCCATTTTCTGAATAAATGTTTATTTGCTGCTTTATTTAATTTTTCCCCTGACCTTCTCAGCTCCACGTGATCTGGGTGGGAGGCATGAGCTGCTGAAGTGAGGAGTAGCTCTGTGATGAGTTTAATGTGCACTCCAGGCTCAGCAGAGCAGATTTTAAATGCCAAATCTGCTCCTAGATCAGAGTCTTCAGAGGTGTGGGAAGAAACACGGATGCAAAACAAACATTTTTAAATTCCTAATAAATATTAACATTACATTGTGATGCCGCACACATATTGGAGGCATAATTAATAAATTCCGCAGATTTCAGTGATCTGAATGTAATGATCCCTATCAGGCAGTAAATAGCAGAAAAATTAGCAGCATACTGATACAGCAGAAATCCTGATTTGTCTCAAACTGCGAGGCTCCAGAAATGCAGTGGGAGCCAATTTCCATCCCTGGCAGGACGGTGTTCCTGGGAAATCACTGCCAATAATAACATCCACGGTTTGCCATCAGCCCCAGATCAGACTGCATCGCTTGTGTCATCTGACAGGATTACACTGGGCAGCAGGGCTGCAGCTCCCTGCCTGTTTGGGGGTTATTTTAATTAATGGACCTCGCAGATCCGTCCCTTGTCTAATTCTGCTTTGGAAATGCATCAGTGCTGTGACCTGCTCAGTGTCACTGTAACGAGACTTACAGACATCCTCAACGAGCTCTGATTTAATTTCCTCTCTGTAAAGCCCAGATTAAAGGAGAGCCCAGTCAATTAGGAATGGAACAAAGCTCGTCCTTAAGAGGAAATCACTTAATCTGCACTCTGTAAGTCTGGAAAATTCTGCACCTTCTACCATGTCACAGCTCCAATCTCCCCTCAGAAAGACTGGAAGGTTCCTGGTGGGAAACCCCAGAATGCAGCAAAAGCCTGCACAGTTCTTGTGGGTCAGATCTCTGTGGCTTCAGCAAAACCTATGGAGAGAAAGCCCCAGCTGGACACACTTGGGTTAGGGGAATGGAGGAGCCCCAAAGCAGGAGGAAACAACACAATAAATGTGCTTTAGTCCTCTCTGTGAGCAGCTCCGATCCTCCAGGTGCACACAGAGCAGCTGGAACAGCATCATTAATTTTTAAAAGCACCAGAAAAACTCAATTTTGTCTCCTTTGCGAACTGCCAGGAGCAAGCTCAGCCTTCCCTTGAGCAGGAGCATCCATCTTCCAGGAGCTCTCTGCACACACAGAGGGAAATGCTGCTCTGCACACACAGAGGGAAATGCTGCTTTTGCCTGTGGGGTCTGGTACGCAGGGGAGGCTCTGCAGTGTCCCTTGGGCCCTGTGTGTGCTGTGACCTGCTGGTGGCCCCTGTGACGCTGTTCACGGGGGTTCTTGCATTGGGGAAGAGACGAGGATCTGACTCCATGGTTCAGAAGGCTGATTTATTATTTTATGATATTTATTACATTAAAACTGTACTAAAAGAATAGAAGAAAAGGTTTCATCAGAAGGCTAGCTAAGAGTAGAATAAGAAAGAATGATAACAAAGGCTCTGTTTTGGACTCTCTGTCCTAGCCAGCTGACTGTGATTGGCCATTAATTAGAAACAACCCCATGAGCCCAATCCCAGATGCACCTGTTGCATTCCACAGCAGCAGATAACCATTGCTTGCATTTTGTTCCTGAGGCCTCCCAGCTTCTCAGGAGGGAAAACCCTAAGGAAAGGATTTTCCATAACACATGTCTGCTGGTGGCCCCAGCCCCCTGACAGCCCTGTCCCTCTCGTTGCAGTGTCCCCCAAGATATTCCGGATCTCCAGCGACATCGTGGTCAACGAGGGCAGCAACGTCACCCTGGTGTGCCTGGCCACGGGGAAACCAGAGCCCTCCATCTCCTGGAGACACATCTCCCCCTCTGGTGAGTGCCTGGGCACAGGGACAGGGACACCAGGGCTGTGCCACCCCTGTGCCCTGAGCGAGCCTGGGCTGGGGCTGGCAGGGCTGGGATGGTGCCTTGGGGGGCTCCTGGAGCAGAGCTGGGCAGGAATTAAGTTGGGATTTATTAAAGGCATTCACAGGACACACCTTGGGTAGTGCAAGAGCCTGGCCATGGCTCTACACCAAGATGGACCCTGAGTCACAAGTTTTCACACTTTATAAGTTTTGGTCCATTTCCCTGTTGGGGTTAATTGTCCAATTCCACGTCCAGGTTCTGCAGTCCCGCCCTCCCAGTTTCTCTCCTCCATTCCCTGCTGTTTGCACTTTTTGGGGCTGGAGCTGCAGCAATGCCCTTGGTTCTGGGCTGGAAAAGGATTGTTCTGTGGGACTGAACTGAGAGGAAAACTTGCTAACATTTATATGGAGTTCAGAGTTGTACACCAATGCAGTGCAGAGTCTGGAAAACATGAAAGCTCAAGCTGAAGGCATCACCACAGCACAGGGATGAGGACATAGCATCCTAAATATGGATGTATGTCCCTACATGTGTTGTAATCACAGTCATGGATCAAACAATTCCAGTTAAAATCCCAGCTAGGATGAAATGAAGAGCACACAGGGCTCCCTAGAGATGGGAAATTAGTGTTAAACACAGGAACAGGCCATGCAGTAGGTTTGGTTTATTCTCATTTCTTCCACTGCTACAGGGTGGGATTTTGGGGTGTCAGAGGTGGGATTTATGGTCCTGGTTGGTCCCTCCCTCAGGAAATTCCATGGTACAGTTTTTCAGAATGGTTTTGCTGAACAAATTAAATTATGTGTGTGTAAATTGTGAACAAAATGGCAACTGAGAGCATCCCTGCTGTTGGATATTTCCATGCATCCCTTTGGCTCCTCGTAGCACACTGAAAGGAAAGGTCTGGCCGATGTCAGGGCCACTGCAGCTGCTCCCTGTGAGCAGAGCAGGGCCCTGGGGAGATCCCTGCCCTGGCAATGAGGATTTTGTGCTGCCCAGCTCTGTCCCAGGCCCTGCCTCTGTCACTGGGACTCTGCAGTCAGAGCTGTGCAGACAGGGATTGCTCTGCTCCCCAGCCTGTGTAAATCCTGTAATTGCAGACCAGAAGGGTTCCGTGGGCTGCCACAGCCTCTCATCATCCCGAGGAACAGTTGGCTTTACAAAGCAAGATCTGGGAAAAAACCCTCACTTCTGACCTTTAAAACAATGACAATGAATTCGGCCTGAAGTGTCCGTCAAGGGACTAGAGGAAAAATTCAGTTGTAGCAGAAAATGGATTTTAACTAAATGTCAAATAAAATTTTATTGGAAGCCCTGGTGATACTTTGGATTAATGGCTTAAAGCGTTTGAGTGGCTGCAGGAAGGAGCTGGGGTGATGCTCCTGGAGAGGGAGGAGAGAAAAGGAGAATTTTTGCACTCAGGCTGCAGCAGGGGCCGAGGGGGAGCAGAGCATCCTCATCTGGAGCTCAGGCAAAATAAATAAATGCAGAGGTGGCACCCGGGGACACGGCCTGGGGGGGGATCCAGGGGCTCAGAGGCACTTCCCAACCCAAATGAACCTGTGGAGATTAATGCGGGGACTCAGGAGGGCTGGCAGTGACCCCCTGGATGTGCTCCTTGCTCCCAGCCCCATCCAGCCCCACTCTGGACATTTCCACCATCCCAGACCTGGGGTTCTGTGCCCTGGGGATGCACAGACACAGCAGGGGCTGGGGAGGGAGAGCACAGGCTGCAAAGGGCTCAGAAACCTTGTCGGATGTGAAGGGAGCAAGCCCAGTGCTCACTGTAAATCAAAGTGACTCCGACGAGGGGGAGAGAATGATGAGGAGACTCCATGGGTATTTTAGAAGGCTAATTAATTACTTTATTATACTATACTATGTACATTTCATCTAATCTGGGTCTGCCCAGCACTCACTCTGCTCACACTACACAGAATCTCCCAACACACACACACAGCTGGCCCTGATAGCCAAGGAAATAAAACACGACCACTGGATAAACAACCTCCACATTGCATTCTGCTTTGGCACAACACAGTGATAAGAACTGTGTTTTCCCTTTCTCTGAGAACGTGAATCTCAGAAATGCTTGGGAAGAGCTGTGCCTTGCTCTTCTCTGTGAAGAGAAATGTGGCAGCAAGGGCTGGCAGGGGCTGTGGTGTGCCCAGAGGAGGTTCAGTGCCCCGGGCACACAGGTACAGGTGTGCACAGGTGTACACACACCACAGGTGCACCACAGCCCTCCCAGCAAACCCAGCCTGGCTCCACCAAGCCAGGAGAAATCAGAGAGCCCCGTGGTGTTGGTATTCTGCCCGCAGCTCCTCTCCTCCCTCAGCCTCATCTGCACTTGCTAATTCCTGCCCGTTCTGGCTGTAATTCCCAGCGGCACTAATGAGGCTCCCGGGCAGGCAGCGCATCTCCCATCCAGCACTAAATTATATTAACCAAGCATATTTAGAATATTCTCAAATTGTTTGTCAAAGCTGCTGCTAAAAGATAAGGAACTGAAATCTCTGAATACAAATGACTCAATGTAGACTAATTCCAGGATATGATCGTGATTTACATCAACACAGCCTCGACTCGCATGAGGTCGGATTCAATTTTTCTGAACAAGAGATAAATTGGACCTTTCGTAGGAATAAAAATAAAATGCATTTCAAGGTGATTTTTAAACTTAGTCCGTAAATTATTGGCCCGGAATCTTTATTGTGCATGTTTAACTTGCAGTCATTATGTAAATGCTGGCGTTCTATAAATATTCATTACACAGCCCCATTATGTAAATCCAGCAAATCTCCCCACTCAGCGTAACAGCGTCGGGCTGCGGGTTGTAATCTCCAAATCTGTATTGTTGAAATGTCACCCGAATAAATTGCAGGTATTACTTATTTTGTTCTGACATTTCCCAGCAAAGTGCAGCGTCGATAGTTTGGCAATGGAGGCAGAATGTTAAAGGACGAAGCTCTGTCCCACCAATGCACTGCTGCTGTTCGAGGGAGGATTGAGCAAAGCCTCCCCGAACCCCGAGCAGCAAACCCGGCCCTGTCAGAGCCCCCTGCCCCTGGCAGAGAGGAGAGGGCTCTGCTGGAGTGCCAGCGCTTCAAACCTGCATCTGCAGCCTGCAAATCCCCAGCTGACAGGAATTATTATCGGATTTCCAGGGCTTTGCCCGTGTACAAAGGGCCAACCCTTCAAATGCTCCCTCTCCTGCTTACAGATGGCTTTAAAGCTGGAAGTTTTAGAAGGAAGTTTCTGGCTTGGTTCTTTTTTCTTGCTGACTCCCAAGCAGGGAGCAGGTATTGCTGGGGAGGATGTTGGCGTTGTTTTCCCCCAGTGCAGAGCAATTGTGCGCTGTGGGTCTCTGAGCGGAGAGGAGCTGCTCTGCCCCCTTTAAAATATTAACAATAAATGAGTATTTTAATTTAACATTAAAAAGGAAAAATGTTAGGCACGTGGGCACACCTTTGGAGGAAGCTCTGGTCAGCTGGAGGCATGGATGAGCAATATTCCCTGGAAAACACCCAAAACCTGCATTCCCTGGGACATGGGATTGTGATGGTGTTCACAGGGGTGCCAGGATGAGGGGAGAGACAAGGATCTGACTCCATGTTTCAGAAAGCTGGTTGATTATTTTATGATATATATTACATTAAAACTATACTAAAAGAATAGAAGAAGGGATTTCATCAGAAGGCTGGCTAAGAATAGAATAGGAAGGAATGATAACAAAGGTTTGTGTCTCAGCTCTCTGTGTGAGCCAGCTGACTGTGATTGGCCATTAATTAGAAACAACCCCATGAGCCCAATCCCAGATGCACCTGTTGCATCCCACAGCAGCAGATAACTATTGCTTGCATTTTGTTCCTGAGGCCTCTCAGGAGGAACAATCCTAGGGAAAGGATTTTCCATAAAGGCTGTCTGTGCCAGTGGGATGGCTCAGGTGGCCTTGGCTCCCCCAGCAGCCCTTGCTGGGAGCAGTGACATTCATGGGGCTCTGCTGGTGGCCTGCCTGGGTCAGTCCCTCTGCAGCCTCTCGGGGAGCTCAGGGTTTTTATGAGTGTTTGATAAGAATTTCATGGCCCGCTGGTTATCCTGGAGGGATTGTTCAGCTGGTGAAGGCACAGCTTGTCATTAAATCAATGGTGCCTGCTATCAAACACGGGCATTAATTAACAGCTTAAAGACAGCAGAGCCCCCAGTGGACACGGCTGGGTGGGATCCCTCCCTTTGCCTTTGGATCAGCAATAAAATCTCTCCCAACACGACCTCCCAAGCCACAGCTCTGTGCGGAAAAGGCCGCGTCCTCTGGGCTCAGTTGTGGGGATTTTGGCCTTTTCCTTTTAACAGGACTGCTAGGTACCGGCCTCGGGAGGGTTGGTATCAGGCTCCAATTTAGTGACATCCAGAGCCACTGCTCTGGTGAGGTGACATTCCCCTGCAGCTGGGGTGTCCCTCAGAAAGGGCCCTTTCTACCTGGACATTGCAGACCTTTGAGCATCCCTTCAGGAACAATTAAAGGCATTCCTATAAATCCTCTGCCCTTCTTGAAATCCTTTACAGAATTCTCTTTAAAATACACTTGTCAGGAGAAGAATACTCCACCTAAGATGGTCAAATAATTGGGGCTTTGTGGAGCAACGGAGGGACAAGAGTGAGATCAAAATCTTAGTGAGACACAAACTAAAACTGCCCAAAAGCGTGGCGCAGAAACAAGCAGGATCTTTTTCTTTTTGACAGTTTTATGATAAATGGGAAGCATTTCTTGCTTTCCAATAAAAGCAGATGAACTCATTAATAACTAATAGAATGCAATGAAAATGAGAGTTTTAAATGCAGGCTGAGCTTATTCCCACAGATATCAGCTCATTTTTACCTGAGAAATGTTGCACTTTTGAAGGAGCAGCGTGTGGGTCTCAGGAGATATGTCCAGAGCTCCAATTATCAGAGCCAGCCCAACGTTTCCCCTCTTTCCAGAGGCAGCCAAGCCCAGGCTTGTGCAGAGGCACCAATAATTCACCCCTTGATAGCCAGGATGTAACAGCTCTGCCTCGTCCCTGCTGCCCTCGTGGGTTGCTCCCCAAGGCACAGTTATTAACAGCCAATTAAAGGCTTTCAGGCTGGGAAAACACTTCCAGCAAGGCTTTTAAACCCTCAGACCTATAATTTCCAGCACCTGTGGTGGTGGCTGCTGCGAGAGCAGTGCTGCAGTAATGACGGCACTGATCTTTTTGGGGTTTGTGGTGTGGTGAGCGCCTTGTGAGGAACCCAAACCTGAAAATTGGCCATGGAGAGGCTGTGAGCACAGCTGGGAGCAGGAGCAGCTCCAGGTGAGGGACAACAAACACTCCCTGCCAGGTGGGAACAGCAGGGAAGGCTGGGGAAGGACCTGTGCCCCGAGTCAGGGCGGACAGATGTGTTCTGGAACAATTCCCAGTGGGTTCCAGTGTCCCTGGAGCTGGGTCAGTGTTCTGGAACAATTCCTGATGGGTTCCAGTGTTCCTGGAGCTGGGTCACTGTTCTGGAACCATTCCTGATGGGTTCCAGTGTTCCTGGAGCTGGGTCAGTGTTCTGGAACAATTCCCAGTGGGTTCCAGTGTCCCTGGAGCTGGGTCAGTGTTCTGGAACAATTCCTGATGGGTTCCAGTGTTCCTGGAGCTGGGTCACTGTTCTGGAACCATTCCCAGTGGGTTCCAGTGTTCCTGGAACAATTCCTGATGGGTTCCAGTGTCCCTGGAGCTGGGTCACTGTTCTGGAACCATTCCTGATGGGTTCCAGTGTTCCTGGAACAATTTCTGATGGTTCCAGTGTCCCTGGAGCTGGGTCACTGTTCTGGAACCATTCCTGATGGGTTCCATTTGAGCTGGGTCAGCGTTCCTGGCTGGGAACAATTCCCAGTGGGTTCCAGGGCACGGAGCAGGCACACACACCAATGTTTCTGTGTGGTTCTCTGTCCTCTCCCAGCAGGGAGATCTCTGCCTGTCCTGAGAATCACTCAGGGACTGTCCTTATTCCTGTGTGACACCCAGATCCTCTGGGTCTTGTGGACAAGGAGAGCTGCTAATTACTGGATCTAGTTAATTGTTGGCTGGGATCAGCTGCCCCAGGGGTGGCTTTGGTCCCTGCAGCTGGCCCTGGGCTGGCTTTGCTCCACCCTGCAGGGCAGGCTGGGCTCTGCAAACCATCAGGGATGCTGAGCTTTGGAGGCAGGGACGGTGCAGTGCTGGGCTGGTTTGGAGGTGATTCGGAGTTATCGTGTGCGCCCTGCCACAGCAGGGACACCTCCCCCTGTCCCAGGGTGCTCCAAGGCCTGTCCAGCCTGGCCTGTGACACTTCTGGGGCAGCCAGCTCTGTTCTGTGGCACCCATCAGGTACAAATTACCCTGGTGTGTCTCAGGGCTGTTGAGTTTCTCTGTGGAGCTGGGTCAGGAGAGAGCCTCTGGCCAGCCCCAGGAGCTTGGGGTGCCACCTGCCCTTGGAGCTGGGGCTGCTGCAGTGGCCGAGCGTGTCAAACTCTGGCTGCTGTGCAGATGCTGGGTTTCAGGGGCTGTGTGCCCAGCCTGCAGTAATCTCCTCCTGTGGCTATCTCATTGCAGCCAAGCCCTTTGAGAGCGGGCAGTACCTGGACATCTACGGCATCACCAGGGACCAGGCCGGGGAGTACGAGTGCAGCGCGGAGAACGACGTCTCGGTGCCGGACGTGAGGAAAGTCAAAGTCACAGTCAACTGTAAGTGCTGCCGTGGGTTATTGCCTCTGTGGTGCACAAGGAGAGGCTGCAGCAGGCTGGAGCTGCTGGCCTGGTCGCAGCGGCTGAGGGGGCTCTGCTCTGTCACCTGGCTGCCACCAAGCGAGACTGTCACTCTGGGTGATGATCCAAGCAGCTGCTGGGGGCTGCTCTGGGTGTTGGGCTGAGCCCTTCTGGTTTCTCTTGTTGTGGTGATGCTGTGAGCGATGTGAGGTGATGAGAAGCTCTGCCTGGGTCCCTGGGTGGGGCCTGACCTCCATGGAGTGTGAGCTGCTCCCCGAGGAGGGACAGAGGGACCCTGCTGTGGGGACCTGCTGGGTGCTGGTGCCACCAGCAGCTCTGACCTGCTGGGATCTCCACACCAGGGAGGTGCTCCCAGCCTGGGTCTGAGTCTGATCGAGCACTCAGCATGATATGAAAAGTTCTTTTTCCCTCCAACTTGTGAGAACACTCAGGCACGACGATGTGAATGCTTTCTCTTGTTTGTTCTAACAGTTTTCTTTGGTTAACCTCAATTACCCAGTGTGTGATTTGTTTCTGGTTTTGGAGTCGCTATGGAACTTTATTGGTCACAAATGTGAGATGTCAGCGTTGTGTCCGCCCCAGAGGCCCCATCCCAGCTGCTGTGGCAGCAAAGCCCCTCATGCCCCGTCACTGTGGGGCCACTGCTGTCAGCTGGGCATTCCCTGCTGCCCACACTGCTCTGGTTCATGGGGCCAGGGCTCCTGGGGCACGGGGGACAGTGCAGTGGCACTTCTGGAGGAGCTGGATGGTGCTCCTTGGGCACCAATGCAGTGGCACTTCATTTTCACAACAAACTGGTAAGAGCAAGGCTCTCCCCCCAGAAATTCCATCCTTTTATTTGGTGCCTGTGGATGTGGGTCAGTGGTGGCTTTGGCAGTGCTGGGGGAAGCTTGGGCTTGATGCCTGCGGGGCTTTTCCAGCCTAAATGGTTCTGTGAGTTCTTTTCCTCTGCTGCTGCTCTCACCCACTCCTGGTGCCATTCTGTGACTGTATTCCTGGTGCCAGTCCATTATTGTATTCCTGGTGCCATTCTGTGACTCTGTTCCTGGTGCCAGTCCATGATGGCGCTCCTGGTGCCATTCAATTATTGTACTCCTGGTGCCAGTTCATGGCTCCACTCCTGGTGCCATTCCATGACTATTCCTGGTGCCATTCCATGACTGCATTCCTGGTGCCACCCAGGGCTCCCCTCCTGCTGCTGTTGGCACCTGGATGTTCATGGCACACAGAGGCTGCTCAGTCGCCCAGGCAGGGACACAAATGCCCGGGTGTAAATGAGTCTGTGAATTTCAGGTTTCTGGGCTGGGCAGCTCCCAGCCCTGCACAAACACGGAGCTCCTGGCACACGTGGGGGCTCTAATGGCTTACAGGGGGTTCATTACACTGCTCCATACACCAGCAGCTGCATTTTCTACTCAGTTTGTGTCTGCCCTCCCTAATTTCCCTTGGAAAAAGGGTGGCCTGAGAATCTGCCTGAATCCCAAATGTCTGGGGAGGCAGAAAAGGAGAGGAGCCATTGGAGCTGCTGGTTGGTGCTGAAGGAATGCTCCACCAAATCAAGTTAAAATAGATAAGATGTAATCCAATTTCGTTGCACAAGTAAATCCTATTAGCATTTTCCATTACATTTTGCAAAGCAAATACTGATTTATAGATTATAATATTGAACCCTGCTTTGAATGAACCAGTGTGTGGATTTAATGTGTCATCTGAAAGCTGGTCTGAAACTCTCCAGGTGCTACTGTCACTGTGCTCGTTCTCTCCTGCTCTATTACTGTCATGCTTGAAAAATATCAAAGGCAGCTGCTAAATCCTAGAATTTCCACTAGAGCTGAGGCCACAGCGAGGGGATGAGGAATGGGATGTGTGCCTCAGGAAACTAGCATTTATTTGCATTTATTTCAAAGTGTCAGCTGCCTAAATAAATAGAAAATGTGGGTTTACAGCGGAGCGGCATTGCAGAATTCCCTTTTGTTAGGATAATCCATGTTAAGGGTCAGTTTGCCTGTAATTGTACCTTGGACAGCTCTGTTGCAGCTGGAGCTGTCAGACTTGACTGAATCAAGATCCAGTGGTGGCTTTGGGGAGGGAGAGGACATTTTTGAGCTCATTGCTGGGTGGTTTTGTGCAGTTTTCAGGGTACATTTTCCATCTCCCTGGGTGATTCTGGGGTCCTCAGCTGTGGCTGTGTGTCCCTGAGCCCTGCCCAGCAGAGCAGGTGGGAGCAGAGCAGAGCAGGGCTTGGCACAGCCCGTGCCCACCTGAAGGCACTCTGAGCCCAGCTGCAGTGCTGGGCTGCCCCAGTCCATCCCTGGCATCCTGCTGGCCAAGCTGCTCTCCTCACGGTGCTGCAGGTGCTCTGACACCGCTGTCACAGCATTTCCAGGGCTGTGCCTGGCACTCCCTGCCTGCCTGGGACAGCTTCACCCTGGCAGAGCTGTGCTGCCTGCCCAGGACTCACCTGCAGCCCTGCATTTGCTTCATGCGGCCTTTTAGGGAGTTTCTGAAGCTCATTGGGCTGATTTAGCTCTAATCAGTTTGGTTTATGCAGGTGTTCACTGCGTTGTTCTTGCCTTGTCCCAACCTGGGGCACAAACCAAAGGGTTGGGGTCACTGGGTTGGTGAAATCCTGTCTTTGGAGTGATTCTGGAAATGCTCTCAGGAAAAGCTTGTGGGGGTGTTCCGTGCAGGGCTCAGGGCTGACCATGATCCCATGGATCCCTCAGCTCAGCAGATTCTGTGATTTAGCCCTTCCCTTTTCATGCACGTGCTTTGTGTCCAGCAAATCACCTCAGTCTGGGTTTTGGGAGCTTTATTCCCCAACATTATCGGGTTTTCCTGTGCCTCTGGAGCCTGGGGCTGTGTGCTGGGAGCAGGTTCCACATTCCCTGGGATGTCCCAGCCCTTCCAGGGGCTCTCAGCCAGCCCAGTGGGGTTTGGGGGTCTGCTACAGAGGCAGGTCCTGAGTCCTTCCCGTGGGATGCTTGGATTGATCAGGGATTTCTCTGGGATGCTTGGATCGATCAGGGATTTCTCTGGGATGCTTTGATCGATCAGGGATTTCTCTGGGGTGCTTTGATCAGGGATTTCTCTGGGATACTTTGATCAGGAATTTCTCTGGGATAGTTTGATCAGGAATTTCCATGGGTTACTTTGATCAGGAATTCCTCTGGGATAGTTTGATCAGGAATTTCCATGGGTTACTTTGATCAGGAATTTCTCTGGGATTGTTTGATCAGGAATTTCTCTGGGATGCTTTGATCAGGGATTTTTCTGGGATAGCTTGGTCAGGAATTTCTCTGGGATTGTTTGATCAGGAATTTCCCTGGGTTACTTTGATCAGGAATTTCTCTGGGATTGTTTGATCAGGAATTTCTCTGGGATGCTTTGATCAGGAATTTCCCTGGGATGCTTTGATAAAGAATTTCTCTGGGATGCTTTGATAAGGCATTTCTGGCAGTGGGGTTTTTCTGGTGCAGGGATGTGTGAGTTCTCGTTAGGAATTTTAAGTGGGGTGTTTGTTTTCGCTTGGCCAGGCCGGGCTGTGCTGAACAGCTCCCCTCATTAGCATTTCTCCCCTCATTAGCATTTCTCCCCTCATTAGCATTTCTTCGAAGGCTCCTCGCTGTTGCTATGGTGCTTTGCATAACATTATGGATAATGCTGCGATTTTACTTTGAAATCAGACATCCCGTACGAGCCACGCCGGCCTAATTAAATCTGTAACCTTAAATCTCCTGGGGAAAAGCCCTGCAGGACCTGGGGCTTGCTGGGCTGCCAGTGCCTTGGACATGGCACTGAGACTTTGCCCAGGAGCTGTGCCCCATTCCTGACCCGGGATCAGCATTTCCTGGGCAGGGTCTGGAGTTTGGATCCAAGGAGGAAAATTGCCTCGGTTAAATTATTAAGTGTGAAGGCAAAGCCCACATATTTTCTGGAGGTCTCAGTCCTCCTCTGCTTTGGCACCAAGTATAAAATTGCTCAGAGCAATTTAATTTCAATTCCCACTTTAATAAAAGAGAGGGGAGGAGTAGGAGGCTTCTCTTGAAGCAGAAATCAAGAACTCTGATTCTTTCTGGTTTTAACGGCTCCTGATTTGCTGCTCCATGTTTATATCCCCAATTTTGGGGTTTGGGGTTAAGGTCAGCCCTGGCTTTAGGAGCCAGGCCTCACTGCCAGGGGCTTTGCTGCTTCCCCAGGTCTCAGGTGGCATTCCAGAGGGGAATGAGTGGCACTGGGGGCACTGAGTGGCACTGGGGGCTCCTGGCACCATGGCTGGCTCTCTCCATGGAGCAGTGGGGTTCAGTGCCCAGTGGGGTTTGCCCTGCTCTGGGGTGTGTGGGTGCTGCTGGGCACATCCCCAGGCACCAGCCCTGCCCCTGCCCGTGCCAGCTGTGCCAGGGCTCGGCCCCAGCCTGCCCTGGGTGCCACCAGGCTCTGGGGTGCTGTGGGAAGGCAGCTGAGAGGGCTGGCCCCTGTGTTTGGGGTTCTGTCCCCACTGCTGCAGCCCTGGGGAATGCAGTGCCCTCCCTGCTGCTCCTCCCAGCCAAAAACATCTGCAGGAGGGCACAGCTGGGCTGGGCTGCTGCTCTGAGCAGGGACAGGGGTGGCTCCTGCATGGGACAGTGCCAACCTGGTGGCACATTGCTGGGGACAGGGATGGCTCCTGCATGGGACAGTGGCACTATGGCCAGGCTGGAATGGCTGTAGCTATGGAAGTTCTGTGGCTGTGCAGGTGTTTTTGGGATGGCTGTGGCTGTGCAGGTTCTCCTGTGGCTGTGCAGGCTCTCCTGTGGCTGTGCAGGTGTTTTTGGGAGGGCTGTGGCTGTGCAGGTTCTCCTGTGGCTGTGCGGGCTCTCCTGTGGCTGTGCAGGTGTTTTTGGGAGGGCTGTGGCTGTGCGGGCTCTCCTGTGGCTGTGCAGGTGTTTTTGGGAGGGCTGTGGCTGTGCAGGTGTTTT